AGGGGTGAAAAATTGAAAGCCCTTGGAACCAGGGTGTGACACACACACACACACACACACGCACGCCTCCCCAAAGGAAGGCATCTCTGCCCTAGAGCGTCCTTGCGCCTAGTAGTAAGGCCAGGGACCCCTAGTAGCGTCAAAGTAGCGTCCTTGCACCTAGTAGTAAGGCCAGGAGCCCCTAGTAGCATCCCACTCTAAGGTCCCGACGGGAGGGAGGGGTAGGGAGAGAAGAGAAAAAGAAAGAGAAGAAAGGAAAGGGAGAAGGTGTTCCCAGCTACGACACAAGCGTCCAAGGACACACCAAAAGAAGAGAGGAGAAGGGCCAGGGACACCCAAACAAGAAGGAGGGAAAGGAAAGGAAGGAGAAAAGCGAGAGAGAGGGAAAAGGGAAGGAAGAGGACAGGTGTTCCCAGCTACGCACAAGGGTCCAGGGACACACCAGTGAGAGAGAGGGGTGAACCTTAGTATTACATTCAGGAACACCCCAAGATGACAAAAAGGGGGAGAGAGGAGGGGAGGGGAGGGGAGGGGAGGAGGAAGGGGGCTAAGGTTGCGACAAGTCTAAAACAAACTTGGGCCGCTACGGCCACGTACGCCGTGCCAAAATGGCTGGCTGCTTAGACCGCTGCGGTCACGTAAAGGCATGAGCCAGCCCAGCTTGGAATTCAGTAGAGACACACTTATGATTGGGCGTACGGAACTGAATGCCACATGCCACACGCCAGCCTAAGAAACCAAATCCTGAAAAGTCCAGGAGAACCCTATGGAGCCTGGAGGTCTTCAAAAGGAGAAAGGGCCAAAAGCTCAAGACCGAAAGCGACGAGCAGGTCGAGATGACGTCGTGCGCTCATGTCTGCCAAGCTCATTGGCACTCTACTGGAAATTGGAGTCAAAGCTTGTTCAAAAGTTCAAACAGCAGGTACGTGCAGCTGATCAGGCTGCATATCCTGAGGTCACCATAGAGAGCTTCGTTGGGCACAGCTCTATGGGCCTCCTGTGCCCCCCTGCTCATGGTAAAACAAAACAATTGAATTCAATTCAAAAGAATCCCTGTGACTACAAGGGGCACACACACACACCGCAAAGCCCAAAATTTTTCAAAGCTCTGAGACTCTTTCAATCTTGTGGCCTTCCCCGCCGTCCACCACACCCAAACCTCACCAAGCCGAGGTGCACCACTCCGGGCTTGTGATGCAATTTCCATCTCCAACTGTGGCCTGCCACTGGAAGTTGATTGCCTCTTTCCGGACCAGGCGCAACTCCTCGCAGATTCTACCCCAGCTAGTTAGTTGGAAGGAAAGGTTTGAATCAATTGTTCGCACGTGAAGGCCAGCAAAGCAATGGCTCCAGCTTGTCAGAGGAGCCGAGTTCAGCCAGGCAAACTGTATCAGGCAGGATGTCACACCCATAGACCAGCTGCTGCTTTCTTACAGGAGTTCCCTCCTGATCCTTGGTCCAGGCAGTTTCGCTCTGTGCCCTGTCCATTGTTGCTATGGGCAGCAACAGAAACGCGTGGATCCATAATCCGTTCATGCCACAGTTGCTTCAAATCGAAAGCATTCTTGCATGCCAAGGTTCCCGCAATCGCGTCTTCACGTCATGAACCTTGCAGTTGGCCAAAGGTTCACCCATTTTCTTTTTTTAAGAGCTCTTCGAGGTTGATCATGTTTTGATGTGTTTCTCTACTTTAAAGTCCATGACATAACATAGGAGTTGTGCACATTGCTCAAAATGCTTTAAGACCCATGACAAAGGAGTTGTAAAACCTACCATACGTTTTACAACTCCTATGTCACTAGTCGACAGTATATTACATACAGTATATATATATATACATATATGTGTACGCATTGAAATTAACAATTCGTGTATGTGTCTCTCTATATATATATATATATATATTACACACGACTTCAAACACAACGGCCCCCTCATCCTAATTAAGAAACTCTACGCGAGCACCAGCACCATGACTATGGCCATCCATGGCCCATGTGCGAGACCAGTGCAGCTCGAGCACGGTCGAACGCTTGGGCGCTGCGAACTCCGCCAGCGCTTCACCACTCAGCAGGGAGACCAACACCAGGACCGTCTCATCGCTTTCGCTCGCTTCCATGGCATCAAGCGTGCATTTGACGGTTAGTCATGTCTCTTTGCTTTGACAGTTTCTTCGTGATCCTGCCAAAGAAGCCTAGAGTGAAATGTATGAAAATGTTCAATAGTGAGATCGGAATCTGTCCCCGTTCGGTTTATGTAGCAAAGTAGGCTCATGGGCTTCGCCGTCTGAGCCAAAAAATCTCAGAGCGTCAAGCTGACTTGACTTTCAGCGACAACGTGGAGTGGAAAAAAACTCTGACGAATCAGTGGCCCCGTGACGGTCAGAATGTGATTCAAACCACTTGTCCTTGAGATCAGCTTGCAGGTCACCAGTGCCTCAGAGCAAAAATTCAAGAGTCTTGAAGTAAGGTTCCACACATTCAGGCTTGCACGCAAATGTTGTCCCACATTCCAGGCCCCACCGGCCAGAGCGACACCCGTGAGCTGCCATGCCTTGGCCTCACGTTTCCAAGAAGCACCCGGTGAGCATTCCTGCATTCGCTCTTCTCCCCCACCTGTGCACTGAAGAGCAGCTGACCAAAGTGCCATGCCAGCCTCGGCCAGGCATCTGTGTTGCAGGATCCACCACTGAATCGCTCCAACATTTACGGAAGGGATCGAAGGAATTCTGGGGCAGCCTTTTCCACTGCCATGTCATGTTGGCTGGCAAGGAGTACAGTACCTCTTGTCGCACTGGGGCCAGCTGCAGTGCTTGCAATTCCTTATCGGAGAGCCTCGGTTGAGGGACGCTGGGCAAAGCTCAAAGATTGCCGCGGTACCGTTTTCTGAGCTTTGTGCTCCTCAACCAGCGCCAAGTCGATCTCGGCAAAGAATCCCAACGAATGTGCCGAGTCTTCCATTTGGGATGGATGAATTGAAATGACAAAAATGGAACCGAGGACAAAAAAGAACAAAAAACATCGCAAACCCGTTTCTGGACATTCTCTTGGAACAACTGAGGGTCGTGGTGGGCTCCCCACGCGAAGGACTCGGATAGACTGGAAGGACGGGACGCTGCGGCCAACAGCCCAGGGGTCGAAGGGACGAAGGCAGGCAGACGCGAGCACGGACCTGACACCGCCCTTGACTGCTGTGAGGCCCTTGGTGGTTCCACATCAAAGCACCACCAGCTTCTTGGACGGCTTCACGGCTATTGAAGATTAAGCAAGCTTATCCTCCAGCAGCGCAACTCACAAATGCACGAATCGTACACTCTTGGGTCCGCGGCCGCTGTGCTGGCAGATGTTTTTCCGTGCCATTCCTGCAGAAGGTCTGAAAATGCCCCTTTAAATTACAGAGCATGTCCAAAATGTATCATGGCAGTATCTGGCCCTAGGCCCCAAAAAAAATTAAAGGCTAAGCACTCAACTGACCAAATGTGAGGAAAGCCACCTCAGACAAAAAAAAATGTCAAGAGTGCTCCACGTGCCCTGAGACTCTGCAATCACGGAGGTCCTTCAAAGATTTTACATCGCCAGCTTGTTGTTTCACGAGGGGCTGCACGCCCAGATTTCCAGATGCTGCAAGGAAAAGCCTGCCGCCCTGGCAGGTGTTGCCAGATCCCGGCACGGGAAAGTCTTAAAAAGTTCGGAGGAGCCATGAGCAAAGCATAGCAAAATGCAAAGCTCTGCTCCAGAAAAGCAGGAAGATCAGTGTAAAGAGATTGGCAGCGCCATGGAGTGGCGATGCATGACACCGGCGAAGCAGGGGACCCGCACACATCAACTCACGGACCTGTGGCCCACGAGCGAGGAGCGTCTGCCCATCGTCAGGGCCCTCCGTTCGAAGCTTCGCTGGCCTGGCTGCGGGCGAGGACCAAAAGGAGTTCTGGCTTGTGGGCGATGCTTTGGCTCCAGCCTGGGCTACACGCCCCCACTTCCGCAAATCAAATGAAGGCGCCTGGACTCCAGTCGCCTCACAAAAAGCTAGCGCGCGGAACCATGCATATTCCTCACACCCGAGCATACTCGAAGCTGTTACCCGTTACAAAGGTGTCAGAATATGACAACTCAGTCATTCAAAACAGAATCTGCAGCCCCGACTGCCGACCTGTTCCCAGGCATATCTTCCTGGCATGTCCTCGAAGGGGTCGTCTTCACGTGCGGACAACAGGTAGTCCATCCCAACCTCCACAAGCTGATGTTTGACCTCCCCCACAACAACAAGTGTCGTGGAACCCGCAAGGTCACCCAGGGTCCCAGGGTAGAGATAAATTTGAAGAAATTGAAAAACTGAAGAAACATACAAAACGGAGGTGAATCCAGCCTTGACAGCACTGCGAATCTGAGAATAGATTTCTGCGCACGCTGCGCGGTCTTTGTGGTCAACCTCAGCCTCAGATTCAGACTGATCAGTCACAAACGAAGCAATTAATATAGCCAAGCTGTCCACTTCTGGACCTTCAGCCCTACACCCCTTCCGGTCGCCCCCGCCCGGCTTTTGGTCTCGCTGGCTGTCCACGCATCCCCCGTCGGGGCGTGTGGCTCGCTGTGAGGCGTGAAGCCCTCCCAAGAGACGTGCAGACGCACCTCGCTCGCCGCATCAGAGGTGGGAAGTGCACCGAACGCACCATGGACTCATGATTAACTTTCCATGAGCTGTCACGGAAATCCCCCATTTGCCAAATGTAGGTCTTCAGTCTCAAATCACCCTTCCCCGAAGCAGCTCTGCAACTAGGAGACCCATTTATCGGAGTCCGCGGGTTGGTGGGTCTGCCTACCACCCATCACCCATTCAAAGACCCATGCCCAGACGTTCTTTCACGTTCTTTCCGAACTTGCCAAGTCACATCAGGTGCCAAAGCCAAGACCTGGCATAGCACAGCCATGCAGGAGATACAGGGCCAATGAGAGATGTGAAGCCAAACATCGCCCATGAGGTCGCAGTTTCCGCCTCGGTTCACAGCGGCCCCCGAGCCTGCATGGGAGTGACCCTGAAGATGGGCGCCTAGAAACAGCTCCTCTGGCACGGGTGGGGCGTGGGCCCTGTGGGCTCCCCTTCGAGCAAAGGTGCCGAGTTGATCTGCACACTTCAGAGCCGCCGAAAACACCTGGCCGAAGGAACGACTGTTGTCCGTTCTCAGTCGAGTCGGGCCGACTCGACTTGGGGATGTTCGGTTTCCAACTGGTCAACCGAATCAACCCACCTGAAGCATGGCGACCCGTTCAGCATGACCACCACGGCTGTGCGAGGTCGTCGTCAAGGGCATCAAGAGCTTTTCTGCTGCCTACGCTTCCATGACAATATCTGGCAAATATGCAAAGTAGCAAACTATAAACACATCTACGGTAAACACTATTCACTATTATATACCATCCACATGGAGTCAAAAGCATAAACCGCTGGCCTGCCAATGTGGGCAGAATTCCCGGTCTGCCCGCCCATAAGTGACTATCTGGCCAGGCTCACTGATGAAAGCTCTCTGATTGTCGGCTTCCAGGTCAAGAGAAAATGCAACCCAAGCAAGGACCTGCAGGGTCAGGATCTTTAGCATCAAACCACGGCCACAACTTATGATGCTAACTGCTAGCACTGCTAGCTCCTGTCTGCGGCATGACACTAAAGCAGCAAGCAGCCTCGGTCTGGCCACCTGGCCTTTGATTGGTGCAGCCCAACTCGAAACTGCTTGGCAGTCTCCCCAGGTGTTGCAGTTGAACCAAGTCTGGAATGCGTGGGTTGTGCTTGCTGTGTTTTCCCAAATTCCTCCATGGCCTCGCGACCCTCTTCTGCCCTGCTGAGCTGCCAAAGTTCGCACTCAGCTGCCAGACGTTGAGTGAAGTCAGGCCCCAAATGCTCCAACTGGAGCTCCCCAACCCAAGCCTCCAGCAGTGCCAACTCTTGACGCATGGCAGATACTTTCTCGTCCTGTTCGGCAAAAGTTCCACGCAGCTGCTTGAGTTTTTGGCCTTGGACCGTGTGAGATAAACACTGAAACTGACTTGCCCGTTAGCCATGTGGCCTTGAGAACAGTGTGAAAAGTTGCAATTTACAGCCTGTGGTGACAAGTGGCAAAGTGGTCTCAAGATGGTCCCTTCAAAGCGAGACAGTAAGGATTCCCAGCGTGAATTCCCCAAGCTTGCAGAAAGAGGCTGGAGCCCACTGAGGATATGCACCCAACCTTCTGCCGTGCCAAAACCCGCGACACTAAGAACGTGGTCTGCAATGAGCTTGGCCGTCTGAACATCCATCTGCTCAGAAACTGCCAAAGCCCAAGCGACGTTGCCTACATCCAATGGTTTTAAGGTAGCGAAATGCTGGCGCACAGCCTGTGCCAATGCTTCGAAGAGGCCCGCATCCTGCCACTGAAGCATGGCAAAGGCCCAGAGGACACAACCCAAGTCTTGGGCGCACATCTGCTTCAATCGCCGTGTTTTGCCATGAAGCATGTCCTGGGCAGCTTCCCTCAGAAGCTCCTCGTCTCGCCACCAGACTTTTGCGAAGGACCACAGCAGCTGAGATAGGTCAAAGTTCTCAAACTCAGCAATCCTACCCCGAGCATGGTCGGCCACAGCGCTGAATAGCCCATCGTGATGGAGTGTCTGGTTTGCAAAGGTCCACAGTATGTTTGCAAGTTCCTGCGTCTTAAATAGGTGTAGTTTCGAGATTGCAGCTTCAGCTCCGGCATCGAAGAAATCCCGAAACATGCCAATCTTACCATGAATTCTGGAGAAGGCCCACAGAATATTGGTGATATGCTGGGGCGAAGGCTGATGAGACTCTGCAAAGATTTCTGGATGGCGAGCCGCCTCCTCAAAGAGAGCATGATTTGGCAAACGAGCCTGAGAGAACGACCACAGGACATTGCTCAGATTCTGCCCAACAAGGTCCCCTCTCTTCAGCAGTTGGATGGCTCTGCGCGACGCCACAAAGAACACACGTCTGTGCACCTGGCGAGCCACAGCTAAGCCCCACAGCAAATTGCTGAGAGATTGGCCATCGAACTCGGGCAACTGCGGCACCGCGGCTTCGCCCAAGGCCCCCAGCAGCCGTGCGAAGTCCGCTCCGCACAGCTTCAGCGCACGGCAACGGATCAAAGACGCCACAGCCCACGCGGTGATGGCCATGTGACGCGGCTGGAGGCCACTGCCAGCAAATGGTTTGGAGCGAAACGTCTTCGCCAAAGATTGACCTCACTTGCCGAGTTGACCAGCCACAAAAAACCGTAAAAAGAATAACCTTTTGGAGGCAACGAGCTGACGTGCTGCACAACAGATCGAAAAGGGATGTACAATGACGTGTGTATATTATATATTGTTTTTTAAATGTTGTTTTGCGTGTGTGTGTGTGTGTGTTTTGAAATCTCAAGCTCCTTCTTACTCCAGAAATGGTAGAGTGGATCCAGATCAGCGACTGAGCAATGCCAAGACATCCAGCGTCTGTCTCACGGACCGGTCAGATCCGGCCAATCCAGGGCCCTCGCGTGACCAACGCCGCGCCAGCCGATGGAGCGCCGTGGTTGCACTGGCCACGTCCAGTTCGTCAGCGCCTCCGAAGGAGCCTTGAACCAAATTGAGGAACTCAGAGAAATCCTCTTGCTCAAATGCCCTGACAAACACCAAGTGCAGTGAAGCATTTGAGCTGCGGGATTCTATTGAGCATATGCGCGAATAGATGCTGGACTTTGTCTCCCCCATTGCGCCATGGCTGCCGAGAAGAAAGCGCCAAGTTTGTGCAGTGAAGGCAGGCTGGATTTCAAGAAGTTTGAGTGTGCACTGTCCCCAACCGGTGCCCATACCAAGCAAAATCCTATATATACAGAATATAACTTATCCATGACCTTGGTGTCATTGGTCTCACCTGAATAGGTCACTTACTTTGGGTGTATCCCATTCCCTGTAGCAGTGGATGATGATGATGATGATGATGATGATGATGATGATGATGATGAGTCAAGGCCTTTCTCAAACATGCTGTGACGATACTCCTTTATTAACTCTTACAGGTTAGTTGCTTCTTGTGGTCTCTTTGGCAAGCTCTCCTATCAGGGCATCGCTGGATCAATGCCAGGCTTTTCCAGAATTCGGCGAGACCGTTCTTCCGGCAGAACGGATGCCAAGTGGCTGTGGGTACCGGTTCGCCGAAGAGGAAGTAATTTCGCCTGGGTCCTGCAAGGACTCAATTGGTCTTGGCGCTACTTCTTCCACGTGAGAGAAGTTTGCACAACATAGCTACTAGGAACAAGGGTGCTACTAACAACAAAAGGCATCGCTACTAGGAGCAAGGACGCTACTAGGGGCTCCTGGCCTTACTACTAGGAGCAGGGACGTTATTAGGAACAAAGGGCATCGCTACTAGGAGCAAGGACGCTACTAGGGGCCCCTGGCCTTACTACTAGGAGCAAGGACGCTATTAGGAACAAAGAGCATCGCTACTGGGAGCAAAGACGCGACTAGGGGCTCCTGGCCTTACTACTAGGATCAAGGACGCTATTAGGAACAAAGGGCATCGCTACTAGGAGCAAGGACGCTACTAGGGGCTCCTGGCCTTACTAGAAGCCAGGACGCTATTAGGAACAAAGGGCACCGCTACTAGGAGCAAAAGGGCATCGCTACTAGGAGCCAGGGGCTCCTGGCCTTACTACTAGGAGCAAGGACGCCGCTATTAGGAACAAAGGGCATCGCTACTAGGAGCAAGGACGCTACTAGGGGCTCCTGGCCTTACTACTAGGAGCAAAGACGCTATTAGGGGCTCGTGGCATCGCTACTAGGAGCAAGGACGCTACTAGGGGTTCCTGGCCTTACTACTAGGAGCAAGGACGCCATTAAGAACAACTAGGAGCAAGGACGCTACTAGGGGTTCCTGGACTTATTACTAACTAGGAGCAAGGACGCTATTAGGAACAAAGGGCATCGCTACTAGGAGCAAGGACCCTACTAGGGGCTCCTGGCCTTACTACTAGGAGCAAGGATGCTATTAGGAACAAAGGGCACCGCTACTAGGAGCAAGGACGCTACTAGGGGCTCCTGGCCTCACTACTAGGAGCAAGGACGCTATTAGGGCATCGCTACTAGGAGCAAGGACGCTACTAGGGGCTCCTGGCCGTACTACTAGTAACAAGAACCTATAAGGAACAAAGAGCATCGCTACTAGGAGCAAGGACGCTGCTACAGGCTCCTGACTTCACTACTAGGAGCAAGGACGCCATTAGGAACAAAGGGCATCGCTACTAGGAGCAAGGACGCTACTAGGG